AAATTTGTATTGATCTCAATATTTTTGATAATCACGTGGACTGCTCACAAATACACGTCGCGTCACTATGTATTTCTAAGCTGTTACTGCTTATCATTACCACTAACTACTAGCTTAGCTCGTGTGTCAGGGTCGCCTCGCTAGCTCGTGTGTCACGGCCTTGAATTTTTACACCCAGCGCGCGTAAAGTTGTTTCACCAGTTATGGCGCGTAAAGTTAAATTTCACTTCAGATTATAAAAGTTATGGCCTAGTGTGTAAAATAGAGCCTTTAAAACTATAAATTTCTTTTTTGTTTCAGATTATATCAAACTGGTAAGAATATTTCTATAACTGCAGCTAATACTAGTACTGGTTTACTCTGGGGGGGTATTGTAACTGGTATATATGAACTTCTACTCCTCTACCGTGCCTCTACCATGAAGAGATGATGATCTCCATGAAGATATACAACAGAACACATATCCTGGATAATATTCCATTGCCACCCTTTTTTTTATTGTAAAAGTAAAATTTAATGAGTATAATTTTTATTTTTTTTATAATTGTATACATTAAAATTAATAATCCTAAGTCAGTGCTTGTCAAATACAATATGATCGAAAAAAAAAACGGCGTCAGCGATGGCTATGAAATGAAGATGGCTGTCATTTTTTATGTAAAATTATGGGGAACGTCATTGATGTTCATTTCCAAGCCAACTAGACGCCGTTTTTTTTTCGATCATACCGTATTATCTATGTGTCTAGTGGTTTATTATGAATAAATAAATAATATAGTAAAATAATAGTTATTTTATTTAAAAATTACACATCTACAAGAAAAAGTTTTGTCACAAGGCAAATTGGTCATTTTTACCAGGAACATATACAAGCGAAGAGATATTTTACTATTGTATATAAATGAAAAATATGTTCCTGATAGAAACGGAGATTTTGTATAAAACAATCAATTTTGTTTAGTACTCATTGTGTTTAATACTACTGTCACATTAAATATTAAATGACGAATGAAACTGCTTAACTCCTGGTACCGAAATATACCTCCTCGCTCTTATATGTTCCTGATTTTATTTTCGATTGGTCACTTTTAGCCACAATGATGTCAAAAATAAATTCAACCTAGCAAATTTTGGAGTACCTGACCAACGAGTTCGAACGAGTTAGATTTTTTCGAAAAACGGCCATAACTTCTAAACTATAAGGGTTAGAGAGGAACGGAACTCGGCATTCGATTCGCCTTTCAACCCTCTATAAGGGTGCAAAATAAGGGCGCGATCGGAGACAAAAAAAAATTTTCAGCAAAAATGAAGGAAGGTTAACCCCTTACCTCATTTTTGCCGAGAACATTTTTTTGTCTCCGATCGCGCCCTCGTTTTGCGCCCTTATAGAGGGTTGAAATGCCTATCGAATGCCGAGTTCCGTTCCTCTCTAACCCTTATAGTTTCCGAGATATTAAGGGTTGAAGTTTGGAAACGAGTTCGAACTGCTAGAGATAGCAGAAATACCGTTGATTAATGCTATATTTATATGTGGTACTAAATTTACGCCTTACCTCTTCACTTTAATGCGTTCCTGATAGAAATCGGCGATTTTGGACCAGTTTTAAAAATTTTCGTGCGATCTTTGTTAAAAATTGAATTTTCTTGGTATGTATCAGGAGCACATAAGAGCGACTAGGTAAATATTGGTTCTCAATTCACTCCTTTATACCTCTTCACGCTTATGTGCTCCTGATAGAAATCGGTGATTTTGGAAAGGGTTAAAATTTTTCGTTCAATTTTTATCAAAAGCTGAATTTTTTCGGATTTTTATCAGGAGTATATAATAGCGAAGAGGTAAAGGTAGGTATTATTTTTATCTAAAATACTGTCTATTCCAGAACAAGTGTAAGTATTAAAATATATTATTTATATTTGATTAAATGACTTTCTTCTTGTTCACGTTTAGACAGTATTTCTAATAGGTATATTTAGTTCAATGAAACTCATCTATATTATTAATTATTGTTTATTAACATAATATATCTTATTAACAAGAGTAATTTAAAAGATATATTAAAATCCAGGATGTTGGTGTACAAGCGGATGTCTATATTGCGGTAAATACATCTCCTAGCTACCCTTCTGGAAAGTGTTGGTTCTGTAAGAAAATATAAAGAAATAATTATTTTTTTGTTCATTAAAAAGCTTGATTACAAAAAAAACTTTAAATAATCAGTGAAGTGATAGGGTACATAAAATATTATAAGATTATATATAAGCCGTTTTTTTTAGATCATACGGCATATTACGCTACCTATATATACCGTAAGATCGAAAAAAAAACGGTGTCAGCGATGGCTATGAAATTCATTTTCTCTTCGAAATGCCGTCATTTTATATGTAGAATTATATGATGAATGTCATTGAAGTTCATTTTGAAGCCAATTCGACGCCGTTTTTTTTTCGATCGTACGATATTATAGATACTATGGAGAAATTAGTTGTAATTGTAACTAAGAAATATTTTAATTATTGTAACAATTTTTAAAAATCCTGAAAAAATCTTTATATAGGCAACTCTATATACACGTTACGTGTATGTTTAGTTGCCTACAAAAAAGTAAGCTGTGCGCCAAAACATTTTATTTGAAATTAATAATTTTTAACTACGTTTCACAACATACAATATTAGGTATTTATTAAACAAAAAAACTGGAATAAAAAACACATCTTTTAGAATAAACTACCTAACATTATTTAGCCTCCTCTTCAATGATGAATTTCATCCTCAATCCACTGCTGAATGTTGAATTGAATCAACCTGATGGCATCTTGAAGAGGATGGTTACATTGAAGTGCAGCTGTTCCAAAAAATTCTTGTCCCAAAGCAGTACAATACCCTCTTCCCAGAACAATACAATTCAATTGCAAGAAAATGTCCGATGAACTTTCAGTCAAAGAATGACACACAAAATTATACAATTGTGTACATATAAGAAGACTTAGTAATACAATCACTGGAAGAATATATAGAATTGATAAATAACATTCCTATAAGGAAGAAAGTATGGGGAACAAATAGTAAAATAGGGATATGATGGAAAAAAATGGCATGAAAATTAATAAAAATAAACTATAATTCGATACAGGGAATGTGGAAATACTGTCTTAGATAAATCTGACAATAGAAAAGGATACAAAGTCTGACACAAAAAATTACACAAACAGGACAATCAATAAAGAGTTTATAGAATGGATATTTCCAATAATAAGGAAAACATGAAAGACAAATAATAATAAAATGGAGGTATTATGATTTGAAAAATGGTCTTAAAAATAATTAAAAAATAAGTATCACCCTATGGCTATAGAATTGATAAAATATGTCTTAGAAACGTCTCACAAGAAAGCCAATAAGAATATAAAAATATGCGTAACAATGATTCAAAAAGTTTATAGAATTGATGAATGATAATATTCAAATAATAAAGAAAATATGGCAGATAAAAATAGTGAAATAGAGATAGGCCAAAAGCAAGATGGAGCAAATAATTTTAGATTATATTAAGAAAAAATAAAGAAGTGTGTGGTCAATAAAATTGACAAAAAGTTATGCTTAGCCTCCTCTCAGGAATATCTAGTCAAAATTTGACATCAAGCACATAAAGAAAAAATCCTCCAGAGCATATAAGTTCGCCCCCCTTCATCAGATTTAACCCTTGGGCGACGATTAAGCCTCGCCAGTCAGTTCCCATCCCAGCTAAGCAGCCTCGTCTCGGGTCACCCTCGTCACCCATCGAGCGGACATCCACCGGGACCCCCTACAGGCGGACCCCCCTCATCATCTTCAATGTGTCCGATATCCCGCCCCCTCTACTGTCGAGACGTCACGGGATACGTGCACGAAGAAGTCTCGTAGCTTGGGTGCCAGGTCGTATCCGGCCGAAGCCTCTAGCGTTAGAACACCTAGCTCGTAAACCAGAGGGTGGTGACTCCCTTGGGTACCCATGCATGCTACATAGGTCATCGATGCCCGAACATCAGGGTTAGGGGGCGACCCGGGTTTCCTCCTCTTAGGGGGGGCTAGTTATGATGCTCTGGAGTCGATGTTACTTACGAAAATACATTGGAAGTAATGATAGAAAAGCCAGATATATCATACTGTGGAAGTCAGATTTTCGAATAAATGGCGAATGCGCCAGGAATTAATCGGGAATTTTGAGAGATTTTAAAATGTGCTATGGTGTATCTAAATTATATGGGAGCAAAAGGGCTAAAAAATGGCATAAAAATGATTCCACGAAAACTACATTCTGTACAAGGTATTATACAAGCAAAAAAGTCTTAAAAAAATGACACGATAAGGAAAATTGAAAACTTATAGAAATACAGTCAGTGGGATATCTTATAAAATTAATGAATGAATTATTATGCCTACAAGGAGGAAAATGTAGGAGTCAAGCTATTATAGAAAAATGAAAGTTAGCCATAAACAACATGAAGTAAAATTCTAAGTAGATAGTATATTTTACCAAACAAATTAAGATCTATAGAAATACAGGCAATTGAATATTTTATAGGATTCATAAATTATATTATTCCCACAATCAAGAAAATATGGGAGTCAAGCTATTATAGAGAAATGAAAGACCAAAAACAACATGAAGTAAAATCCTAAGTAGATGGCATTCTACTAAAAAGAAAATGAAGTGTCCAAGTGCCAAAAATTAACACAATTTTAAAATAGATTGTCTGAATTTGGTTATGATAACAAAGAACCATAAAAATGTAACTCGGAGACTAACTGAACTTTTTTTCTTACTTAATGAAATGTAAAAATGATGAATTCCCATGAAGAACATTAAAAACCAGTAAAATATATATTTATTTACCCAATAGAAATGAAATTATAGATATACTTAGAAGTCCTGATGCATTGTAACTAATACCGTATGATCGAGAAAAAACGGCGTCAGCGATGGCTATGGAATGAAGATCGCTGTCATTTTATATGTAAATTTATATGGGAAATGTCATTGATGTTCATTTCCCAGCCAACTGGACGCCGTTTTTTTTCGATCATACGGTATTTATCAAAAGGATAAATGTACTGCCCTGGAACTATATCCATGCATTGATTTGTTGTACAAAATCTGTAACAAAAGAAATAAAAATTATTACATTTTATTAATAATTATGCTATAATATTTGTTTATATATTTTTGTTTCATATTAAGATTAATAAAAATATCTTAAAAACTATGGTCAGTCTGTTAATAAACATTTAATAAATTTGTTATAATTATTTTTAAATAATAATTTAAACACGTACTGTTAATTAGATAATAGACGATCAATGTCGTAAACCAGAATGGTAGCTAAACATCAGGATTATACAAGGGGTGACTCAGATTTCTTCTTTTGGGAGGTCCTTACGTGCTGGTGTCTGGTGTGTATTATTAATGATGCTCCTAAAAAGAAAATTATAATTAAAACATGATTTATATTAAAACAATGCAAAGTTGTTAACTAAAATATGACGACAGAGTTAAAGATTTTTTTAAAGGACAAGTTTAGCATTAAATGTGATGTGTAAACTATTTTCTTTTATCTAAAGTATTATATAAATATTGAGAATGGGGCCCTTTAGGTATATTTAACACTCACTCGTTCCTAAATACGTAGAAAACTTGTTTGCCTGTACGAATAAATACCTAAAAACCACATTTAGGAAAAAGTTGAACAAAAAACATCTTTACCTCTACCAAAAAAAAATGGTTCAAAAAATACCAAATATCGAGCAATATTGTAAGTAACTATATTTCTAATGTACAATAGGGACATCGATGAAAGTATCTATATTTTCATATACTCGATTTTCGAAAAAGAAAATTATGAAAACAGGAAAAATGTATTAGTTAAAATGATGATGTAATTGAAATATTTGCAAGTGAAAAAAATTATAGAAAACAGGCAGATCCTGGGTACTTACGTTTTCAAGAGGTTAAACAGACCTGAAGGAACAGAATGCACTCAAATAGTGTACAGAAAAATTACTTTTCTATTAAAAAATCAGAAAAATTGTAGAGCAACATAACAGAAAGATCTCGACAACACTTGACACAAAACACAATGGCGCCTATGATGGCGCCAATTGCAATCTTCTTTTTCGTTTTTCGGGTCTTGAAAGAATTGTAACCACAGAATAAAAGTAACATTACTTTTCTTCCTTTCATATTTATGTTCCGAAGCATAGCCACCTACAGATTAGACATATATTTTTTTTTCTTTCCTTTAACAAAAAGAAAATCTGAACTATAATCTATGGTTAATTATTAGACAAAGACAGCTATCAAAATAAACAAGTAGAGCAATATAAAAAAAGAACATAAAAATTGAACAGAGAACGATAATTAACGCAATTTTTAAGAGGCAAAAATGAATTTTAAGAAAAGAAACACATTTCTATGATAAATAATCAATACAAAACAAATCTTGTGATATGTATATCAAAAGAATAAATTAATATATTTTGACAAAGCCTCTATTATTGTCAGTTTTTGTTTAAAATTTCCATTTAATTTAAATTGACTGGAATCTATTTTAATGAAATCTAACAATTTAAAATTTCGTGACCTAGATAATATCGTTGATATTTATGCACTAAACTTCGAGATAACGAAAATGTGTTTGGTTTACAAGCTACAGAATCGAACGGATGATATCAAAAACGCTCAGGATTCAAGAAAAAGTATTCACACAAGTTTTATTATATCCTATATACAGTAATGCTGATTTTTTAGTTAAGACTCTTACAGGAAAAGATAGAGAAAATAGACAGTTTTCAAAAACAAACCGATTTAACATTGCACCAAGTAAAATGTAATCATTGCTGTATCGAGGATATGGATAAGTTGACTCATCCTAAAAATATCTTATTTTTAATGTACAATTGAGCCGCTAAGGAATGTATCTATATTTGCATATACTCGTCTTTGAGAAAGAAAATTATGGTAATTGTAGAAATATATAAACTTTTAATGGGTGATGTAACTAAGATATTTGTAAGTGAAAAAAACTATAGGAAACAAGCAAAATACTGGGTACTTACATTTTCAAGAGGCTGAATAGGCCTTAAGGAACCAAATAAACTCAAATAGTATACAGAAAAATCACTTTTCATATGAAAAAATCGGAAAAATTAGAACAACATAAACAATTGCCAAAATAGTTGATTTTAGTTCAAAATTTTCTCACTTTTTCCACAATGGCGCCACCTGCATTCTTCTTCTTTTTCGTATTTCAGGTCTTAAAAGAACTGTACCCACAGAATCAAAGTAATATTCTTCTTCTTTTCATATTTATAATCCAGAGCATAGCCGCCCACAGATTAGACATACATTTGTTCTTCTTTCCTTTTAATGCGGCTTGAACTCATATATGTCATTTGGCCAGAAAAAATAATAAAAAGAAGAGAGTCCGAACTATATAATCTATGGTAAATCATTAGACAAAGACAACAACAAAAATAAACAAGTATAACAATATTATCATAGAGAAAGTAAATAGTTTAGAATATTATATAAAAATTGGACAGAGAAGGCTAATTAAGAGAATTTTTAAGAGGCAAAAATTAATTTTAAGAGAAAAAATACCAGCCCATCTACCAGCACTGAATTCATTATTTAAGACCCACCATATACAGGGTGAGTCTAAAAATTTAGTTTGGAAACTAGAAATAATCAACAGCACATCATCTTTATAATTTATTTCTTTATTTCGTTCTTAACATTTTTAATAAATTTCTTCTTACAAATATAATAGCGTATGATTTTCTTTGTCTTATATGGCTAAATTATTGACTATTTATATATACAATCATCCGTTTTTTTTGTTACTGCAAACAATATAAGGACCTGTACATTGCAGAAGAACAAATACATATAATTAATTATTACATACAAATCCTTATATACATGTAATTAAGAATGAATTGGTAGAATAGAAAATATAATTTGTGTTTTTGTAGATATAAGTATATTATTGTTAATTAGTCTTTTCTTTATACAAGGTGTTAGAGAGTTATTTTTTAATTTATTTTTAGAATAAAGTTATATTTTTTTAAGTGTTTAAATACCATACAATCGAAAAACGGCATCAAAAACGTCTGGGGAATGGTAATCGATGATAATTTTGGCGAGGCCGAGCTCTAGACGTCATTTACTTGACAGTTGTCCTTGAAGGTTTTGATTTTTCTCAAGTTTTATGTCAATTTTTAAAAAAAATGTTTAGAAATTGACTTCGCCAATTATCAGAGATTGTCATTCCCCAGCTGTCTTTGACGCCTTTTTTTAATCGTACCGTATATACTATATTATAAGTCAGTAACATTTCTTGACTGCATAATGTTTCTACCATACACCTTTTTATTTATTTTTTCTTGTGATAATGGTGGTACTACGCTTATTAATAGTCCCTGAGTGTTAGTCATTATACAATTATTATAATTTTAACAAATTTTAACAAACTTTTTGTATCGATACCCTGTAATTCTTATATTTTACTTACAAAAGATTTAAAAAATATCGAAAATAAAATAATCCACCTTAAGATCATTTTTGTTAATAACTTTATATGACTTATCATCTATCACATTCTTTTATAAATTAAAAAAATGCCGATATCAGTTGGTAATATGTCTTTTAAAATGTCTTCAGACACAGTTTTGATTATTTAGATTTTATTCTAGTCTTCAGGATGTCTCTCAGTGAGGTGTAATGGGAGGTAGATGGTTTCCGCACTTTGGGAAATTGGGAGGTACAGGTGGTAAATCGTCTTGGGTTCCAACGTGTATCAGGAGGTTCATACCTATGACTATGTGGAACAGGAAATGGCAATGGAACAACCAATAGCCTGGAAATTAAAAAAAAATGGGATTAGTAACAGATGAGTTGCAAGATCACAAAAAAGTCTTTTTCTGATTTAAATCATTTTGATGACTTTAAGTCATTTGATTTTAAGTAATTTCTCGAGAGCTGATTTAAGACTTCAAATTTAAGTCTTTTTCAAAATTACTTGTGATTTATAGTATACTAGCATGTACCCGCGACTTCGTTCGCGTCGAATTGGTCATTTGTAATGGTGATGATAAAGGAAAGCAAGAATTTCCATTAACATACAAACTGAAAATTTTCTCACATTTATGTCAGCATGAGAAAAAACAATATGGCGATATTATTATATAACTTGGTAATATTTGAGGGGTAGTTTCATCTCCTTGGAATTTGACTTTCGAAAAATCCGTTTGCCAAAAATAAGCTTTTTACGTCAAGCAGTTTAAGCAGAATCGTGGTTAAGAAATTATCCAACTTTTTGGAACACCCTGTATGATTTTTTAAAAAAATTCAAAATATGTAAAAAAAACAAATAAAATAGGCTTGTCCAAGCGTTTTCCCAAAAGACTAACCGTTTTTTAAATAATAAATATTTTAATATTTGTGGGGCGTTTTCACCCTCTTGGAATTTAAAATTCGAGAAACCCCTCCTTATCGAACCTCTGCACCCCACAGTCAATCCGTTTACCAAAAATCAGCTTTAAACGTCAAGCAGTTTAAGCAGAATCGTGATTACTCAATGGTCATATTTTATGAAACACCCTGTATAAATTTATAAAAAAAATTAAAATATGTAAAACAACAAAATAAAATATACGTGTTTAAGAGTTTTTCCGAAAAACTCACCGGTTTTTAAATAAAAAATATTTTAATATTTTAGGGATAGTTTCACCCCCTTAGAATTCGAGTTTCGAAAAATTCCTTCTTATCGAAGCTCTACACCCTAAAGTCAATCTGTTTTCCAAAAATCAGATTTTTACGTCAAGCGCTTTAAGCAGGATCGTGATTAATCAATGACCAGATTTTTCGAGACACCCTGTATACATTTTTAAAAAATCTTAAGATATGTAAAAAAACAAAATAAAATATACGTGTTTAAGCGTTTTTTCGGAAACTTGACCGTTTTTTAAATAAAAAATATTGTAATATTTGAGGGGTGGTTTCACCCTCTTGGAACTGGAATTTCGAAAAATCCCTTCTTATCGAACCTCTACACCCTAGAATCAACCTGTATGCCAAATTGAGCTTCTTACGTTGAGTGGTTTGAGCAGGATCGTGATTAATCAGTATGTCAGTCACTTAAGGATTTTATATTATATTAGTATAGATTATTGAACGAGCCATTTATGCTAGCCATTATTCACGCAGGGTGGCGTTTGCGTCACGAGCCGTAGGCGAGGGGTACAAGTCACCCGAGTGAATAATGGCTATAAATTGCGAGTTGAAACTATAATTTTGTCCACGGCCATTATAATAATTATGAGGAGTGTTTGAATTTGTATTTTTAATGTTAATCTTACTATTAATTATTGTATTTATGTTTTAGGGGAAAATGTCACTACCTACTTAAAATTTGGCAATTTCAAACGTCAAAATTAACTAAAAGATAGTAAAAACGTCAATATCATCAGCTGCTATGCATCGAGAGTCGCAGTCATCTCGAACTATTCTATTTTCAAATATTTGGGAAGTTTAATTATTATTAGATGTGTTTTACGACATACCTGTATATTAGTACTTTTTTCTACCACCTTTAGTAAAATAAATTTGTTGAAAAATGATGATCGTACCACCAGCAGCTGACTTTTTGTTGTTTTGTGTAACTAAAGTTGGTAATTTGTGTTTTATTTATCGTTATATATGTATTTGAATTTTATTGATGCTGCTTCAAGTTTTTTGCAATAAAACACATACTTCTACCAACTTTAGTTGAGTACAGTTGTTGGAGAACGATAAATTGGAGTACCAGCATCTGACTTTTTGTTGTTTTGTGTAACTAAAGTTGGTAATTTGTGTTTTATTTAAAGTTATATATGTATTTGAATTTCATTGATATTATTTCAAGTTCTTTGCGTGAAAATATCGTATCAACATTCTTTAGTCAATCAGGAGATTGATTTTTGTTCCGTTACAATGGCAACTAAATATTCTAATAACACGGATTCGGAAAACGAATTTATGCCTTTGGCAATCCTCCAGTCTAGAAAGTGTTTATAGGTAGACATGTAATGATCCTTAGACTTTTGTGGTAGCAATCCAAGACTTGTTAATTTGGCCGCCTCTGCTATCTCTAGTGGTGTACTACAGGACTCATTATCACTCTCATAATTCATTTTTTGATTTTAAACGAGTTCAATAATCACTACCTACTTAACATTTGACAAACTTCAAAATTAATAAAAAGAAAAGATAATGGCATAGCAACAAATGTAAAGTAAATGTAAAGAAAAAAAAAAGATTTTTACCTGGGTTATCTGCTCTAAATCTAAAAATAACGTAACCGTTATTAGGTACTGCTATAGTATCCTTGAATGGTGGCAAGTCGAACTGCCTGTGCAGCAGTCCTCTTCTATCCAAGTCCAGGGCGTGTTTTAGGTTGATCTTCTTCACGTTCTGATCAGGTGATCTACCAGTACCAACCACGTTGAACGAGTACCCGTGCAGATGGAACGGATGGCTCAGATTGGGAGATTGTACTGAAATAATTAACATGTATTTCAAAATTGCTATAAACCAGGATTTAAACAAAAACAGTGGCTGGGACAGAAAAATATTGTAGCAAGGGATGTCGATGAAACTGTTAGGGCTTGGTGCATTTCAACTGATTTCAACAAATTCCTACCGCAGCGCTTCAACGTCAAAAATCAGAAGTTATCGTGGTTCTGTCATAATATTTAAAATATTTAGTTTTTTGCTAGTGCAGTTATTGAAACTATAAATCACTCAGGTACGAGGTTTGTGTGATGTAACGCTGTTTCGGGTAGTAAAAAATAAGCGAAAAAGAATTCGAACTAGGCGTCTTGTTGTGTTGTGTCAATTTCAAATGTTAATAAAATTGCCGAAAAAATGTTAACGCGTAAAGGAGAGCGTAATTAGGGCGTTGTTGGGTGCAATAACATTCTAACTACATTTTATAGCTTCATAGTTTCTCACACCGATTTGATGAAAAGCAAAAATGGATTCAAGCAGTTCGACGAAACAAGTGAATAAACAAAGTGCTCCTTACATAATCAAAAAATTAAATAGACATATACTAAGAGAGGAAAAAATATAATTTGCAGTATAATGGTATACTTTTTTTTAACCAACTAGTGATTAAATGTTTTATGAACATCTCCTAAAATTATAATTAATTATGTACCTTAAAAAAATCGTTTTAGCCGAAATAGCCCCAACTATGCCCCATTAGTAAAACCGGTGATAACTTATGCTCGCTACCATAGTAGAACTCATCTAAAAAGTTTTTTTTTATTTGGAATAAATTATAATACAAGTTAGATCTTCTGAATATATCAGAGTATTTACTTTTTTATTTATATTTTTAGAATTTTCACAAATTATACTTCCTGACACTTTTAAAATAATTAAATAATAAATTTTTCGTATTCTCGCTGTTTAAACCCGTGTATTTGTAAGTACTAGTTGTTTACGATATTTTTTCCGATGGTGGCAGCACCGGCGGAAAATGCACCAAGCTTACAAGCTTATATTAATTCAATAAGAAATAAAAAATATAACTTACCTTCGTCAACTAAAACGACTTCAACTATGGCATTCATCGGGATGTCAACTGCGTGCGTACATTCGCAATTGAATCCACACTCTTCTGGCCTGTTATCCCCATTACAGAACTGTTCTGGTGGAATATCGTCTATCTGTGACAGAGGCGGAGACCCGGGGAATTGGAACGATATTTCGTCTATTAAACTGATGACGTGATCCCCACCAGTGGCGGCTGTAATAAAAAAATAATATCTATATTAGCGATGGGAACTATCGAATGAATTAGACTATCGAATGGTTACTGAATGAATGATTTCAACTATCGAATGATTTTATTCGAATAAAATCATTCATTCATTTGTAAACTAAAGCATATGTGACAACCTCGCCGTGCGACTAAATGGTTATCGTTGCGCCACGACTATCGAATGCTTTTGATAAATGAAATTTAGTATTCGTTTGATTTTTGTGTGCGTCAGTGCATTATTAGTTCTTCCAAATTTTTATAACTTCGCCTTGTAAATACTATGCTATTTTTGCGTTTATTAAAGTATTTAAAATACTAAAATAGTAGTTTTTTTAATTGACGATTGTGTGCGAAGTGGTCAAAATTTTTCCGAAAAATTTTCAGTCTGATCTTTCAGTTATTTAATTTTATATGGTATATATGGTTAGGTTAGATTGCATTTTTTTAATGGGAAATTTTGAGAAGTAGCAATTTTTAAGAGAGATGAGATGAACTTACAATTAATTTTAAAAATACATATTTGTATTTTAGATGTTTTAATAATATGAGTTAGTTGAACTTAATAATCATATTTAAGTAATGTGGTTAAGTAAATGTGGTTATCGAACTCACATTTTGGGGTGAGAAAATTAAATTGAAAGTTTTACACTTGCCAATTTAAAAAAAAAAGTTAACAATGTTTGTATTTTGTTTATGCTAATTCTCTTATATGGTTTTTTGTGAAGAAATATTTCATTTATTTTTTAAAGTAAATGCCAGCAAAAGTAAATATTATTTTTAAATAGTAATATATAATATAAATTTATATTATAAATTTTAATTATATTGTTTATATTTCATGATTTTAAAATTTGTTGTTAATATAACAAATTAGTTCTGTAATTATTATTATTTAATAAACCAACGTTGCTATTTAGAGACTATATTATTTTTAAATAGGATCTAATATAAATACTTTTGACTTTTATTTGTTGTTTATATTTTGCTACTACTTAAAAAAAATGTTTATATTATTAAATGATTGTAAATTTTGTTGTTAATAGGTATAACAAATTATTACTGTTATTATTTATTAAACTAGTCTTTGCTTAAAAACATTAAAAATCATTTTCCTACATCCAAAATAAAAAGTATTATTGCAGTGTAACAACAGAATATTAATAAAAAAAATGCAAAACATATAGACATACTATCCCTAACTAACTAATGCTAAAGAATAATATTCTCTCCTAATACCAACTAATACGAATATATGGCAACAGCGCCCTTCATACTATATTTTCTGTGTAAATACTAGCACCTCAATAAAAAAAATAATGTGTCCTTTATTTGACTCCGCAAAAAATCAAAGATGCCGGCTTCTTTCATAGCATTGCCACCGACCGCTGTCGGGTTTTTAGGAAAGAAACCTACGTCGCCGGACGACAACTAAAATCCAGTTTATATTTTATTAAAATCGATCCTGACGAATAAATGAATTTGATAAATGAATGAATTTTATAAATGAATGGTTTTTGCTGCCGAATTACTAGAATACAATATTTCAAGGCAGATGACGCATCTATTCGATAATTTTTATTCGAATAGTTTTCGACGAATGTTTTCTTACTAGCTATCGAATTATTCGAATGAATTGCAACTATCGAATGTTTCGATAGTATTCATTCGATAGTTCCCACTACTAATCTATACAATAAATTCAAATAAAAACACATAAAATCTTTTAGAGATGAATCTTTGAATCTCTTTTTATACATACCTAAATATCTGTTATATGTGTGCAACTTAAACAGATCCTTCGGTTTCCAAAAGTAAAATCTGAATGGCAGGAAAATCTTGACATCGGGTCTTTCCTGCAAGATGGCTTGATCAACCTTCTTGGCATTTCTCAGTTGGCTGACGCAAATGGCATCTTTCCTTGGCTTGTTGCAAATGGCGTCCAGGGGGTTCATCACCTGGGGGTAGAAAGCATAAGGGTAGATTAGTCGTATTAAAGCAGGGTTAATATTAAAGAGGTCCTAGATATACATGATCATATAATAACATTAGTCTATTATTAATAATATATATGCAACAAAAATATTTGTTATTCATTCGGTTAGAGCATTGAAGAGAGCGTTTGAAAACATTCATCTCCATTACAGAACGTGATCCCCACCAGTAAAAAAAAATAAAAAAAAAATAAATAAAATAAATAAATAAAAGTAATCTGTATTCTTTACTTTATTTATTATTATTTATAATAATAATAAATAAAGTAAAGAATACAGATTATGCTTGTCGTATATAAAATGTTATATTCTATTAGAATATCTCTCATTTATTATAAAGTTTATTTCTATTTTTGTTGCATTTTATACAATACCATCGAAAAAAAACGGTGTCAGAGACGGCTGAGAATGACAATCGATGATAATTTTGGCGAGGTTAAGGCCGAGGTAGTTTATTTGGTCGGTACTTACTGCCAGTTGGCCTTAAGAACCTTGTAATTTATTTATATACAGGTTGCGTCTCAAAAGTGGCTCACACCTGTAACTTTTTTACTTTTAAAGATAAAAAAACGATATTTGGTATGTTAGTATATGACATAAATTAGGATTGATTGACGTGTTCAACTGTTTTTGGTCACTTCCTGTATCACCGGAAATGACTAATACTTTTGTTTAGACATACATATTTTTATTTGAGACATATTTACGTCACGGAAATGTATATTTTTTCATTCAGTAGTTTTATACAGGTACAGACGAAAAGTTATTACTCATTAAAACAGTTAAAACAAATGTAGGTGGCGCCCCCTACAAATAGGAGTAATATTGACAAGAAAATCAAATCTCTCATGTCAAAAAACTCTCAGATACCAATTTTCATGCAAATATTGACTTTACTTTAAAAATTATTTGGAAGAAATCGTAATAAAAATGAAACTTCTACACCCTGTATCTACGAAACTAAGCATTTTAGGACATACATTTATACGAACTTTTTTACTTATTTTTATCTGCAGAATATGCTGCCGAAGTTTCCGGAATACAGTTCGGACCACCCTGTATAATTAGTGTCAATTTTTGACAAGTTTTATGCCAATTTTCAGTAAAATTGACTTCAGCAAAAATTATCATCGATTGTTATTCCCCAGCCTTCTTTGACGCCGTTTTTTTTTCGATCATTCGGTATTTAAATGAAATGTTAGTGTTATTTAATTTATACAGGGTAACTTAAAAAAATTAATACCTACCTTTTTTCTGTCTTTGTACAAAATACTAAACTAAAATTTGTATTTTTATATTGCATACAAATGTACAGCGGCACTATTTACACAAACACTCATACACTATCGTTAAAAAAGCAACAAACTAACAATAAACAATTTTATTGTTTATATTATAGTATATATACAGGGCGCGTCCAATTTTTTTTTCAAAAGCGAAATGTATAATATATACAAGGCGTTTTTTTTTAAAAAATAAATAACCAACACCTTTTTGTTTTATTTACATAAATAGTGATAGTTTTTATTCATATATCAAAAATTCTTTACACAATAATTATTTTATGTACTTATTTAGTTATAGAAGACTGTGATAGACTAGGTACAATCTTAGATAACTAGTGATATGGTAACACCTTGAATACTGCGTATTTTTCATATTTATACATTTTTTACAGGGACCGAAATCAACGGGTCCTTACTATATCTTACAATCTAGATTATTTCACAAATAAATCTCATCTTTTTTTAAATTAAATTAAAATTAATCACTACGGGTTGCAGTAAAAGACGTTTCGCGAATTTGGATCCTACGTCGAAAATTCTTCTTCTTTTTTCACTAAATAAGGCTGGACGCACACAGAAAGAACAACACAGTATTTTTAGTCAAAAACGTTTTAGACTTTATGTGTTTTGATGTGATATACTTCCATGCAAATTATATGGGCTAACGTACACTGATACAGCCTTAAAACAGGTTTAGGCTTGTTTAGGCTCGTTTAGGCACAGTCAGGCTGATCTTCTTCGAAACATAATTTTTTTATGAAAAACAAAAACGTTTCTGACTAAAATAATTTTGCTTTTTCTGTGTGCTTCCAGCCTAAATTAACTTTACAACTTCTATGTTAGGCTGCTTTTACACTAGCTGAAAAAAAAATGTTTTACACGAAATTATATACAAATGATTATTATGATAAACAACACACTAAAGTGTGCCGGTTAAAACAAGTAATTTTATAATATTTTTCATTGTAAAACTAATGAGGAAATTTTAGTATATACAGGGTGGACCAATTGTTTATACAGGATGATTGACTGCTCTGAAAAAAGCTCAAAGACAGTGATGGCAATAATTTTAAAATATTTTGTATAGTACAGGGTAAATCAAATATATATTTTTACTGTAAAGTTGCAGTTACTTACTATTACTTGATTCCATTTTTTCAAATTTTGAACATTTGAAATATACAGAGAACTTAAAAAAATGAGCACAATACAGGGTGGTCCGAATTGTATTTCGGAAACTTCGGCAGCATATTCTACAGATAAAAATAATTAAAAACTTCGTATAAATGTATATCCTAAAAAGCTAAGTTTCGGAGATACAGGGTGTAGAAGTTTCATTTTTATTTCGATTTTTTCCAAATAATTTTTGAAGTAACGTCAATATTTGGATGGAAATTGATGTCTGGGAGTTTTTTGACATGAGAAATTTGATTTTGATGTCAATATGGCTCCTATTTGTAGGGGGCGCCACCTACATGTGTTTTAACTGGTTTGAAGGTAATAACTTTTCGTCCGTACCTGTATAAAACTACTAATTGAAAAAATATGACTATTTCCATTCTAAATATCTTGAGAACGGTTGCTCGTACAGATTTTTACCAAGAGACATTTTTTACGTAAAAGACGTCGTGAATGTATATTTTTTTTCTCAGTAATTTTATACAGGTACGGACAAAAAGTTATTAATCTTCAAATCAGTTAAAAAATATGTAGGTGGCGTTCTATACAAGTAGGAGCATATTGACAAAAATCAAATTTCTTATGTCAAAAAACTTCCAGACACCAATTTTCATCTAAATATTGACGTTACTTCATAAATTATTTGGAAAAAACCGAAATAAAAATGAAACTTCTACACCCTGTATCTCCGAAACTAAGCACTTTAGGACATACATGTATACAAACTTTTTTACTTATTTTTATCTGCAGAATATCCTGCCGAAGTTTCCGGAATACTGTTCGAACCACCCTGTATATTAGTTATTGGTATTGTTATCCATGAAAAATATTATAAAAATCACTGGTTTGTTTTCAAAACGTGCTAAGGCCTATTCTACATAGACGCGGGTAGTGTAAATGCAGCCTTAGCAGCCTTAAAGTTCTGTTAAGTACGTAAAAAGCACCGAGACTACTACGTTGAAAAAAAAATACATAAAGGAATTTCAGAGGGGTAGAGAGGTAGGAAAACTTAACACTTACGTATTATGGCGATAAAGACCATTTTGGTACAGTACAGACTGAATTGCTAATATAAATAAAATAAACAAAATATATCGTTGAGGAAAAATAAAAATTAGGTTAAAAAACATGTTCGACCGAAAAAAAAAATTTTGGAATTTTTTTCATGTTGTTTTGGTGTAAATAAAATTGATCTAGCTTAAAAAAATGTTTGAAATGTTGCAAAGATTCATCTGTTAGTATTTCTGGTTTATAAAAAAATATGGATGACTGGGTTATTCTTCGAAAAAAAATATAAACAGATCTTAAATGGCACCAGGAAAAGTTTTTTTTTAAAGATGATAGATTAGTGTCCGATTTTCGTGTGTTTCACAGCGTTTCCTATTTACGAGTAGAGGTACAAAGACGTACACAGAATTGTCCTGGCCTTCTTAGTTCCTGAAATACAGGGCGATTTTGAAATTGTTATATTTTTCGACACCCCTTGTATCACGATTATCTTATAATTTATCGAAAAGGTGAAAACTACTATACAGGGTGCTACAACATTGGTATCTCGGTAACCGTAATAGATACGAAGTGTGGCATAAAGTTGTACTCAGGAGACCGAGTTCTTTGAAAAACTGAAATAAAACATGCAGGTCCGTATTTAAAAAAATGAAGTCGGCCTCTGTATCTCACAAATTATCAGCTAATTTGAAAATCTAAAAATACTGTCAGATAGCCCTAATAAAGTGGCTATGAGAGTATGCAATTAGTTTTTTGATTTTCTAAAAAGTAACGACAGGAAAAAATAAAAATGATTTTCAAAAAATTCATTTTTTCCAAAAAAATTCAGCAATCCTTGAAATTTTAAAAACTTTTTTGATACCATCTTGTTGAACATTCCAAGGCGCAACTTTGCCCTAATTACCAATGCTCGTACCTCGAATTTGTAGCACCCTGTATTCTGTAGAGTTCAAATTCGCTATGTATTTCAGAAACTAAGAAGATCAGGAGAAATCTGTGAGAGCCATCTTTAGTTTCATAAAAAAGTAACCCTATAAAAGACACAAAATTAGTACACCCTGTACATACAAAATATAAATTACCTTACTTTGATCCGTAGTTTAGTTATTTTAAAAAAGTTCGCAATCATCTGCGAACTATACTACTAAGAATTCATGGAACTATACTTTGAGCAACTATTGTCAAGGTTTCGCGTGTCAATTTCATCTACACCACCATGTAACGAATCTGTATCTCTTGCATTATTCGATTTTTTTAATTTAAATAAATTCTATGTAAGTCTTCTCATATTTTCGTAGGATCTAAGTTGATTCTGGGCGTGTGATCTCCGCAGGTCGGGAAATTGGGGGGTACCGGTGGCAGGTCGTTGTGGGTTCCCACGTGCAGCAGGAGGTTCATTCCTATCACTATGTGGAACAGGAAGTGGCAGTGGAACAACCACACTCCAGGATTGTCCGCTCTAAATCTGTGGAAATAAAATCCTATATTAAATGTTGCAAATAGAAAAAAAAAACAGTCCAGAACCAGAGTCTCCAAAAACCACCGTTTTTTTTAAAAGCCTTGTAGATTCATCAAAAATGTTTAGATTATTTATGTTGTGTGTAAGTCTGGTAAAGTATATTTTAATATGTACAGGGTGGTCCGAACTGTATTCCGGAAACTTCGGCAGCATATTCTACAGATAAAAATAAGTAAAAAACTTTGTATAAATGTGTGTCCTAAAATGCTTGCAGTTTCGGAGATACAGGGTATAGAAGTTTTATTTTAATTTCGATTTTTTCGAAATAATTTCTGAAGTAACGTCAATATTTTGATGAAAATTGGTGTCTGGAAGTTTTTTGATATGAGAAATTTGATTTTCCTGTCAATATGACTCCTATTTGTAGAGGGCACCACCTACATATTTTTTAACTGATTTGAAGAGGAATAACTTTTCGTCTGTACCTGTATAAAACTACTGAGTAAAAAATATACATTTACGACGTTTTTTTACGTAAAAAATGTCTTTTTGTAAAAATCGCTACGAGTAATGGTTCTCGAGATATTTGGAAGCGAAATTATCAATACCTGTCACAATTGACATAAATAAACACGTTGACCAAATAGTTATTAGACTGAATTCATTAATTCGATATGCTTTTGTGCCATAAGTTTAACAGAAACTGTTTTATTATATTTTTTTCGAAAAAAAAATTATGATTAACTTAAAACAATTAAAAGTTCCCGAATTTATCATTTAAGTAAAATAACTATCTACTGAACATGTTTATTTTTTCTCAATAATGACATGTATTGACTACTTCCATTCTAAACATTTTGAGAACGGTTGCTCGTATTGATTTTTACTATGACGGAAACGTATATTTTTTCACTCAGTAGTTTTTATACAGGTACGCTCGAAAAGTTATTACTCTTCAAAACCGTTAAAACACATGTAGGTGGCGCCCCCTACAAATAAGAGTCATATTGACATTAATCAAATTTCTCATGCCAAAAAACTACCAGCCACCAATTTTCATCCAAATATTGAAGCTACTTCAGAAATTATTTGGAAAAAATCGAAATAAAAAATGAAACCTCTACACCCTGTATCTTCGAAACTAAGCATTTTAGGATATACATTCATACGAACTTTTTTACCTATTTTTATCTGCAAAATATGCTGCCGAAGTTTCCGGAATACAGTTTGGACCACCCTGTATAATGTCAACATATAAAGTATACCTAATACTTGAATATGAAATTTCCCTTTTATTTTTATTTGCAGTATCATTCACTAAAGTCCAGTACGCTATTTTTTACTCCCTGTATAATGCTTGCGTGGATTTTCATCGGTATGATTATTCTATTATTCAAAAATTAAGTTTATATTGAACAACTCGAGGATACTTAAAAAACACTTCTAACGACGTAACCGGCGATGACCACGAGGGATAGAAAATATAAAAGAGTATATTGAAGAGTTCGGAGTCAGTTAGTAGCATTATGAGTTGCGATCAGATCAGTTAGTCAGTCCAATGGTCAGTCACAGTTGACAGTCAGTTAATCAGTAGCTAGTGAATCGGTAGAAGACAGCGAAGATATGACAGTTCCTGTAAGTATTTCTTTGAGCATACTCTAAGTCTTGGCATTTCCTAAAATTGTTATTTACATTTATTTATCGAAATTGTTAGTACACTTTTATTTTAATAAATGCATATCTTTCTAATGGTTGTTTTGATTAAAAGAGAGAACCTGGTATAGCGATAATAGCAGGCAACCCCCCAGCTACGTCGCGACAATATTAATTATCATTAACGTACTGTAAGAGAGAAAAAGAAAAATGAAAGGATTGATGCTTTATTTACCTGAAAATGACGTATCCATTGTTGGGCACAGCGATGGTATCTTTACCGGGTGGCAGATCAAAGTGTCTGTGCAGTAATCCTCTCCTATCCAAGTCCAGCGCGTGCTTCAAGTTGATTTTCTTCACGTTTTGGTCGGGCGATCTACCCATACCCACTACGTTGAAAGCGTAACCGTGCAAGTGAAATGGATGGGACAGATTTGGTTGTTGAACTAGAGAAAGATAAATCAAGAAATTGAGATAATGGTGGGTTGCCATTGAAAAATTTAGATGTAGAAATGGATAAAACAGATGAAATTTCTTAGTTATAAGGTTTTTAAATGTGTCTGTTTCAATAAGCAAGGATAAAATTGATATACGGTAATCTCAAAACAACTTCCGATGCACGTGATCAACTTTGAGTGACAAGCGATGGCGACAACGCTGCCAGATTGTGATGGACTTATGAGATGAATCTTAATTTAAAATTGACAAACAATATATTTAGATATTTGTTTTATTTAGACATTTTTTAAACATTTTTACGTTTAATTTTTAATTTAATAACTAATAATATTTTAGTAATTAATTGATTTATTTGTTTTATAGCTTATTTTACTTATTACATATTGGCAAAAACTAGTCCATTATGAAGATTATTCTAAGCTTATAATGGGTTATTTATTTATTTATTGATGTACATCTTACAACGCTATCAGTGGTAATAACAAGTAGGAGGGTGCTATTAATGCACCCTCTCAAACTAATAATCACAGAATTTACTAAAAACTAACGTATAGAAATAACTTTGAAAGTGGTATAATGTGCTTATCAACCAAACTAACTTCTCTGGCTGCAGTCAAGGGTAATAAACGACCTTTATTGTCACTTTCTTGTTTAAAATAGTTTATCAGGGAAGCTACAAGCTCTTTGCTTCGACTGTATAGATGCTTCGTCATACTTTCAACACACAATTTCAAGAAATACAATACAAAAACTCGAAAATTTACTTCTTAAAAGAACTGTTTGTGCTTAAAAGTACAATTTTTAAAAAATAGACTATGAAAATAGGCAAAAAACGAGAATTACTCACAAAGATTCAACAAAAACACGATATTATACAAAATAATGACTGACATTAGGATAATTGACAAATAATAAAGGACAATGTGACGCAAAGTGACCAACTTAGTAATAATAAAATTCGGTGTAAGTACTCAATATTACTCAAGAACTCAAAGAGTAGTACTCAAGAACGGTTCGGAAAGGAGCGGTGCGCAATAGCCTGGTGCCTCCATATGGCGCGGAACAGTTCTGGAGCTTTATGACTCAATTGAATGGAGTGAGAGTATCGCGTTCTTGAACAGTTCAAAGCTGCTCAACTGCGTGAAAGGAGGACAGCAAATGTCGACATGATTGATGACGTGCAACGGAAAATGTTTTGCGATTTCGCATAGTTATAGTAACTGTGGATGATTAAAAATACTGTACCTTCATCTACGAGCACCACCTCGACAATGGCATTGAGGGGAATATCGACTTTGTGGGTACACATACAGTTTGGTCCACAATTGGCCGGTCTATTATCACCATTACAGAACTGCTCTGGGTCCACCTCGTCGTACTGTGATAGCAAAGGCGCTGGCGGTGACATGTAAGAGATTTCGTCGATCAAACTGATCACGTGGTCACCGTTTGGTGCAACTGAAAACAGACAAAAATAAAATTAGTACTAAACAGTGGCTGTTTTTATTAAAATTATATATATTAATACTATAATTTTATATATTAATACTTCATTCAAGCTTAACCTCGCAACTAGTGGAATAAATTAGTGGTTTCAATTAGCGTAGCAGTTTGTTTTTCTAATTTGAATGTAGGTAAGCCTGAGAACGTCAAAATTAGTGGTAGGAATTTTCAAATAGTGGAAAAAGTTACCAAACTTTAACTTTTCCACTAATTATCTTTACTTTTCCACTAATTAAGCTTTACATTGAAGATTTGATTAGCCGAAAAATGATACCACGCACACTAATCAAATGATACCACGCACACTAACGTCCTGGCCGTCAGTTGGTCGTTGCGACCAGTAGACTGCACTTGACTGCACTAAAATATTATAATTTTCTTCCGCTTATTGCCGGTTTTCTTCCAAATTAATAATTTTTCAGATGAAATCCCTCAAATTCAACGCACAATATTTTATTTTCCCTAAGAGATAGTGTTTTAGTGTAGTTTTTGCACACGTGCAGAAAATCCAAAGAAATAGTATACAGACTGGATCAAAGGGAAACTTAAATCTAGTCCCTTTTTTATCAAGGGTCGATTCTATTGTAAAAATTCAAAATATTTTTATATGACATACTCTATTTATGGTTGGTATGATACCTTCGAGTTTCGATGTTAAAAAATAAAAAAATCATATTTAAAGTTTTTCTACAACCACTTGTTTTTTTTTATTAAATAATTTTTTTTAGTAGTATTGTAGTCATGTACAAGGAGGACAACTGTATTTTAAATATTATATTTAATTTAACGTTTTTCAAACAGGGTCCATTAGACTATATTTCTACTAGGTACATTATTTAAAAAAAAATTAAGAGTAAAAGTAACTTGAACATTCATAAAAATAGAAGTATTTCCTGTTGTAGATTCTCAGTAACAATAAAAAAGAGGAATTTATATTGTAAACATTGAAATAACTGAAAGCTAAACTTTCTACCTGCTTATATTTAGAGCCAGTGTCTGACGACTTTTTTTTACGATGGCCCTAATATGTTTACCTCTAAAGTCGATAAGAGCCATCAGTAGAAGTCCATATCAGTAGAAAAAAGAAACAGAATATCTCCCTTTTTGTCGGTCGCGCGTACACAATGCTTTTTGTTCGGCCTATTTGTTCTGCTTCTTCGTGCGCGCTCGGTTCGTTCGGGCTAAAATGCTCAAGTCTGGACGCACCTTTAGGAACAATACTGTTTTTGTTCTTTATTGATATAATGCTGAAAATCTCACGAGTTACATGTCTCACTCTACACATATTAAATTATATAGACGTAGGATGTAGAATATTCTGTTATGAAACGACTGATGGAATAGCAGACATCGCGGATTTGAAAAACATGGAAATAACGACGTTATCGTGTAGTCGGGGTTGGAGATTTTACTTACACCATTTACCACACCAGTATTTATTAACGAAAAATCCAAGAATATTTTAAATGCATTATTTAACATTAGAACATTTAATAAGCTCAAGAATAGCAACTTCGCTTTTTAGTTAACTCGGATATTTTAACATTTCTGAAACTTAATTCTTTCTGAAACAATATTTTCTAATTGGTAAAACGTAAAAAAATGTTAGATCTGACAACTCTGTTGATATTGGTCGTTCATCTGGCCGCAGCTATAAACGCAATACATCCGGCCAGCCGACGGCCAGGTCGTTGCGACCTGGTTGTCAGTGAGTTAGAGCCCTTAAGGGTAGTCCAAGACTTAAAAACGGTTTTAATTTTATACTGCTTGGTTATTCGCTTAATATTTTCCGATGTTCCTTTTACATATGGAATCGTCAAGAGAGCATACCGCTGTATGCTCTCTGTATGAGCTGTACCGAAATGTTGTGTAAGCAAAATAAATCAAGACAATGGAAGTCCGAAATTCTTTCAGCTTCAATAATAAAAGTAAATTAAATGATGAAAAATTACGAATCATCAGTGAAAGACTTGCAAGCGAACCTCTCGATTTTTCTTGCCGAGCAATTTAATTTATCATGGCGTGAATCTTACGAAAGATCGACTTTTTTTGGTTTGTAAAGTGTTATCGCGATGAAGGAAGATGAGATTAATATTTTCAGTCAAGCGAATAAAAACAGACAGATCATTTAACGAGAACTGGCTTAAGGAAAATCCGAATTTTAATTTTGGCAATTTGTTTTTTAAATTGTTTGCCTGTGATGTATCGACAGGCAGTGTGGGTTAATGGATTTTTTTATAAATCATTCAGTTATTTTTTGGACGTTGTAAGGGATGTTGGAAAGCTGAGTGTAAACAAAAATTTAAATCATTTATACGGGGGCAACTCAAAAAAGGCTCACCCCTATAACTTTTTTATTTTTTTCAGATAAAAAACGAGATTTGGTATGTTAGTATATGACATAAATTAGGATTGATTGACGTAGTCAATTGTTTTCGGTCACTTCTTGTTTCACCGGAAATGGCTACAACTTTTGGTTTTTAAATGGCACTCTTGGTATTTCTCATGGTCATCCTCGTTCCATTTGAAAAAATTGAGATATGATTAAACATACGATTTGGGCATCCTTTAACCCGCCAAGACAAGACATTAAAACATTAGACGATCAAATCTATTTTTCTAAGGGCCCTTGATTAAAAATTAGTGTTTTTAACACAGTACTGGCACTCTAGATTGAAATTTAAAATACAACTTTTTTTAAACGAGAATGTCAAAAGTTGACTTATTATATGTTATTCTATTCAGAGTGTCATTTTCTAAAATTGTCATTTTCAAAAATCAACAGTTGTCGTAATTTCCGGTGAAACAGGAAGTGACCGAAAACAATTGAATACTCCAATCAATCCTAATTTATGCCAAATACTAACATACCAAATCTCATTTTTTTATCTGAAAAAATAAAAAAGTTATAAGGGTGAGCCACTTTTGAGACGCACCCGGTATAGTCAGGGTATTTTGAAATCCAGTGGGAATTTTGTTAGTCTTTTTAAACTTTAATAATCTACAATTAAAATATGAAAAACAACTTATTTGGCAAGATAATATGCAGATGACATTTTCTATAAATGACCTTTTTCATCATTCACCGAGAGATTTTTACTGCTTTTATATTAAATTCAATTAACCCAAGAATACAATTTACTATCGAAAAAGGTATTAATACTAGCAATTTTATCGATAATACAATTACAGAACAGACAGTATAATAGATTACAATTTGATATTTATAGAAAATCCACTGCCATAGACCGTGTAATACATAGTAAATTATAAAAATCCTGGCAAATTAAAATGTCACCTTTTCATAGTTTAATTTATAGATTATTAAAGTTTGAAAAAGCGATTGGTATTATTAAACAAATCACCATCAACAATGGATACAAGGATTCCTTTGTTGATAATATGATAAAGAATATACAAATGAAATTTTAATGATTTTTAAACCTTAATAAAAATATAATACGACAAGATCTTTGATATGTCTTTTGCTATGCTCTCCTGACTAAAGTGCGGGCCGTCCGGCAGCCGATAGACTACTCGGTTCACTACCGCGCATCACATGTATACAGGGTATCCCATTTTCGTCTGGTTTAGGGGATTTCTCGTTTATTATGGTTTATATTCTAGGAATTTATTACGCCTAGAAAATATATTGTGCTGGGTTGGCGTTGGTTTCTATGTAATTTGACAAATAAATAAAGCTCTCTCTTTATTTGTCAGTTTTGAGTCAATATTTTTTAATTCTCTTTCGTGTCGATTGCTGATTGAATTGGAGCTTGAAATGGCTCAAAACGAAATAAGTAAATTACCAACAGATATCCAGGCTGAGGCGACAAACGCCACATCCAAACTACTTCCATTTAAATCCCGAATAACTTATGAAAAGGAATTCAAAAATTTTCAAAAATGGAAGCAATTAAAAAACGTGCGAGAAGAAATAAAGTTTTTAACCTATCCTGGCCGTTAAAGCATCATTTTATCTACCCTGGCGGTTAAAGTACTATTTAATCTACTATTTTTGATAGATATAAGGCAATTTTAACAGTTGCTATGGAAAAAATAATATTTCAAGGATGTTTAACAGAGAACTAACCACATTTCAGTACTATTTATTTTATTCGCTGTTCTCGAAATGTTCAAGTCAAGAAAAACGTATCAGAATAAATTAGAACAAGAACTATACGAACGTAAAATTGTTGGGAACTTTTACAAGAAGAAACCAACCCATTCTAGCAAGTTAATTTCTTCCTTCCTGTGTAACTGAATAATCTATTAATCCTGTTCTTGGTTGATTTATCAGAAACGATCTGGTAAAATTGCGCTGGCTTCAAGAGTACAAAAAGAACAGAATGTGGCGCTATTTTATGACTTTCTCAACACCAGGCGGCGTCGATTTCTTCATTTCTCAATACAATTAACTGGCCGAATAAATAAATCAGAACCGTTTTTCAATTTGCTGGTTTATTTAACGAAAAATAATTAAATTGAAGCATTAAATCCTAGATTTTATCGGGGCATAAATAAAAAACGGCGTGAAGTGTGCTTAATAGTCTAGATAGTTTAAATACAGATGGGCAATAAATTAGAATTACGGATGTGTGTAGAAATTTAATTAATTTGAACGGCATCTGTTTGAAAAAATCAACTTTATACAGGGTGTTTCGGGAAACATGTGCCATTTCTCTTGGGGAGATTCCTCATGTAAAAATAAGATTTATTTTTCATATCAACATAGGTCCGATTCTGCTACGTATTTTTGTGAAAACATTCCTAAAGCATATTTTTACGTAGATTGTAATGGTTTAAGTATAATTTTTTAAAAATTAATAAGTTAAAAGTTAAGAAATTTTTTTTAATAGGGACACCCTGTATCTTTTTAATTAAGTGAAAAGAACTTAAAATTACCTTTCCAAAAATATAACACGCTTAATATTTGTTATAGTCTCCTTCGAAATATAGAATTTTTATAAGTTTTCCACTTTTAACTAGTAGGCTTTGGACCCCTTATTGATGATCTGCCCCTAATGGAACTCGAATACATATTTTTTCCAGCAAGACGAGGCATCGCGCCTCAGGACGCTGAAGTTATCAGCAAATTTTTGCAGCCAATTTCGAGAATGCTGAATAGCTAATCAAGATCCCAACCGTTGGCCGTCGAGGCCGCCGGACTTAGTACATGTGGATTTTTATCTTTGCGGAAGAATAAAAGTTCTTATTTTTAAAATTTTTTTATTGTCCGTATAATCTAGACAAGAATTAGAAGTACTTATGCGAGGGTATCTTTCACCCTCACTGAGTTAATGAATTCCGGGAGAAATGTTCAAAAACGGCCCCGTCTGTCCATAACAGAAAACGGTCGACATATCGAACACCTGTAGCAAAATCTCATGTCTTGGTTTGCTATCAATAATTTTTATTGTTATTAGATATATAGTTTAAATGTGTTGATGTTGTTAACACGTTGACTGCCATGGTATTTTGTATTAAAACCTTCCCGGACGCCACGGTGTGAAAATCGCAATAATTATTTAAAATGTGCTAAAAACTACTAATTTTAAAATTTTGTCCCGCATGTAGCTTTTTTTTCAAAAAAAAACAACTTACGAATTATCTCGTGGTCGGCCGTCTCCAATCTATACTTATTCAAAGTGGGCGAATTTTTAAAAACTCTATATCTCCAAGAGGAATCGAGCAAAATATCAAGTATGCCATATTTTTGGAAAGGTAATTTTAAAATATTTTCAATGAATTAAAAATATACAGGTTGTCCCATATAAAAAATCAAATTTTCTGTTGATAATTCTTAAATTATTAATTTAAAAAAAATTATACTTAAACCATTAAATTCTACGTAAAAATGTGTTTTAGAAATGTTTTCACAAAAATACAAAATTTTCCATAGCAAAAAAGTTACAGCGATTTGTTAAAAAAGCACTATTTTGAAAAACACCCCGTAACTCCGAAACGGTAACAGATATTGATGTGCGGTTTTCACCATCATGTTTTTAAAAAAAATTGAGCTCCAGATACCGATATTAGTTTTCTTCTATCTCCTATAGAAAAGGGTGTTTCCGTTTAAAAGCGTCGAATTTGACCCACCCTGTACATGAATAAAACTCCATCAAGAACATCACTCAACGTAACCTAATTTTTTGAGCTTTTAACAGTAACCATTTTTTAAACCCTGTACAAATTATTGTGAAAACAAATCAATAATTACCCAAATGTCTGTTGTAAGTGTTGGGGTTGAAGAGATCATCGGGAGTGTACAGGTAGAACCTGAAGGGCAAGAAAATCTTCACGTTCGGTTGTTCAGTCAGTAAGGCCCTGTCCACTTCTCTGGCGTTCTTCAGCTGATTTATACAGACGGCATCTCTTCGGGTCTCGTTGCATCTGGCATCCAAAGGATTCAGTACCTATATGTTCATGGGGGAAATACTGCTATTTACATATGATACATATCTACATTTTGTATAGACAATTTTACTGAACTTTTTTTTGTTAGATCTAGATGAATATAGTACATATTTTTTACACACATATGTACATAATTTTTATGCGTTTTTTTACATGGTATACGTACAAAACATGAGGCATTCACTATATTTTCTATTAAAAAAAAAATGAACTTGTGATAATATATACAGGGTCCGGCAATAGTGCGTCGGGCATCTGTAGCTCCTAGAATAAAAAACTTGGGATTTTTGTTTAAGTGCAGATCTAAAGTATGTACTAGGATGTATTTCAGGAAAATATTTTCACTTCTATAGGGTGGCTCAAAAAAGTGAAGAAGGGTTGAAAAATATATATTTTTGATTTATTTTTTAATATCTCTGAAACTATCGAAATAGATTTACTCATATTTTAGGATTATGCAAAATGATCTGAAAGGAAGCCAAAAATGCAATAATATACAGGGTGTTTCATTTAAAAAAAATCATCCAGATCCACTCACTTTTTTGAGCCACCCTATAGAAGTTAAAATATTTTCCGGTAATACATCCTAGTACAGTTTGACAAATATAGGAAGAGACTTGGGGATAGCACGATAGCACCGGTCGCGCACACGATAGAGAGAGAACGCATTCGGCGAAAGAGAGATGCAGTTACGCTACGACAAATCTGATTAAAGCAAATTTGCGGGCTGTCCACTGCGCATCGAGGGGCGTCTCTTATTTTATATTTCTCACGTCTCTAGCTATACTTGTTAAGTTGTACCAATGAGGTTATAAGGGGGGAGGCGACATAAGCTATCGAGAAATGTACCCAGTTACGCCATATTGATACTGGCAATTCTGACAGTTCAGTTTTTGAGGTTAAGTGCGTTGCTGTGAGTGTTTTTTTAATTTTCCAAGACTATTTTTGTGTTTTTATTTGAATATTTGGACTTTCCGAGCATGTCTTCGTGTGCTGTAAGTAGTTGTTGCCAGTCGACAACGTGTAGAGAGGAAGAAATCCACTGAAATTGCATTTCACAGGTAAGTGTAAACATAATACAGGACCTGATTAAATTATTTTCGTATTTTCCATTTAACTAGTTATGCGTTTATTAATTAAATATTAAGTGTTTCTATATTGACAAAGTGTTTAGTTATTTAATACTTTGTTAGAGGCAATTAAGTAATTAAAACGTGCCTCGACTTCTATTCTTGTAAAAAAATTCTTAACCATATCTGTTATTTTTACTACATATACTTTTTTTGACAGGAAAGAGTATTTTGCTAGGCCAAATTTAAAAGTTTTGTTTTAACTACGGTTTATTTTTCTATTTTTACACTCAGATTTTGTACTTAAACATTTATTTACATTCCTTTTTAGCATCTGCTAGCATATACTATGTACAAACTTTATATAGTATAGCTTTAATTTTTAGATAAATATTATAAAATCAACAAAGTAAATTTACTTTTTGCAGATAAAGTCTTAACAACTTATATTTATTGATAAACATTTATTATTTTAATAAAATTTTATATCAGAACATTTTAAATTTAGTACGTAGTATATAAATTTTGCTCTCTTTAGAAAATTTTTATCAAATAAATATTATATTAAATTTGATTTTTAGGTTTCAAAAATCCCATCCGTCGAGAAGCTTAGGTGAAGTTTCTGAACAGGAGAAACTGGCAAGCTACATCAGGTAGTGTTCTATGCTCGAAACATTTTTCTGATAACTGTTTTGACAGAACATCTCAATAAAATATCTCAAATAAATAATCATTTCCTAAGATTTCTAAATTTTAATGATTATCAAAATGTTAATTATGGTAAATCAGTAATCATGTTTAATTATTTTCCGCTTTTTTTCTAATTTTTTTTAAAAATGTTAAGGTTATTATTGTTAGATACATCAATAAAAACAAGGCAATTAGTTTAAGACATACTAGCAACAAAACAGTGTTATTTAGTGAGCAATAAAATTTAATTTATTTAATGTGTATTATTTTTTTGTGTTTCCTTCTTAAATATACATAGTATATAGTCATTAAAATTAATCTTGTAGTTTATATTTTTGAAAAAATTGTAGGTTTTGTAGTTATTTTGATTAATTAATTTAAAAAAGTTGAGGTCGTTATATTGTGTAAAATAAAATTTTTCAAAGAAGTTTCTGTAATCCGGCCCTGCTAATGCCGCCATATTGGTGCTGGCTTAAGCCACGCCTAGTGTTACCATTTTTCGCATATCTCCCTGTATACAACCTCATTGAGTTGTACATACTTTAGATTTGCATTTAAACAAAATTCCCAAGTTTTTTATTCTAGGAGCTACAGGTGCCCGACGCACTATTGCCGGACCCTGTATAGTTCTGTAGAAGATAAATTTAATGGCATTATTTTCTATTATTTTATTGGCTTATATTTTTTGGTTAGGTGGGTTTATACAGGGGTAAATCAAAACGTTGTTTTTTGGAATAAATTATAGATCAATGAAAGGAGCAAATGGAACGACAACTTCTTGGAGAACATCTTCAATATAACGCTGGGCATAAAAGAATAAAAATATTAGGATAATTAAAAAAATAAAATGTTAGGAATACATCTAAGATTACAGGAAAGTGTTTTTTTTTATCCAAAATGCCCGTCCCATTTTTTCCACAGGGTGATATGAATTTATTGCAAAACACGAAGTTTTGATATACCCCGGTATAAACCCACCTAACCGAAATATACAAGCCATTAAAATAATAAAAAACAATGCCATCAAATTTATCCACAAACTAATACCACAGATTATACAGATTATAAACTTTGTTTTTTCTTTATTGTTTTTCGTGGTTCCAATTTTCGGAATCGGGCACTAGTTTGGTTACTAGTTTACGCACATAGCACGCCTACTTATGGCCTCTAAAATTGTGCACAGCGCCTGACCGGCACAGTTATTAGAGAGATATCGGAAAACCGAATAGCGTCATGCAGTATTTACGCCTACCTTATCATGGTTACGATATGCGCGAGTCAATTTTTAACGCAACACCCGCTAATAACGTTACCGCCTGACGTAATTTGCGGATCAATTACACTGCTACTTCTAAATAACGTTTAAAAATTGCTTAAAAGGGCACGTGCGGGTATTTGACAACCGGGGCCGGCCGGCGAGATCTTTTATTTTAGGTTATGTTTGAATCGTTTTGAATTATTAATTTAGTTTTATTAGGTAATTTGATATTTAAGTAGCTGGGATTAGTTTTAATTAAATAAATATGGTCCAAAATATGGATTCCACTTCTTCCAATATTAAAGAACCTATAAAGAGGCTTAGGTTTACAGCAGATGGCGACTTAGCCCTTCTAAGAGAATTTGTTGCCGTAAACCCACTGGTAGACGTTGAACAAGAAAGCACTGGAAATAAGCACTTTAGCCCTTTAGTTTTAAAATACCTAGTAAACAAAACAATTTCAAAGTTTTAAATTCAAAGTTAGGTTAAGTTTAAATAGCGGACGCTACGCGAACAGAATTCTTTCCGATCCGATAACTATAAATGACGAGAGTTAATACCACCTCACGTAAAGGATATAACACCTAGCCTTATTAACGTCCATGCGCGCTATTCGGTTTAGCGATATCTCTCTATTACGCTGTTTATTGTTATTTCACGCGAGTTTATTTTTGCGCACAGGAAATTTTACTCGTTTGCACATCGTCATAAAAAAACAATTTTCGTACCACGAATTAGGGACAAGATTTTTATCTGTATACTTATAGGATACCTAATCTGTGCTAATACCATACTCATAAAAGTGCCGGGGAGTTTATAATAAGTAAAACATAGTTTTCAGAAAAACGAATTTAAATTCGTTGAAACTAGTAATTTGTTTCACTAATTTCGAAGTTCTTAATGAAATTTTACTATTTTCAATTAAAATTAATTAAAGTAGGTAAGTTAATTTCTATATTATAAGCGAATTACCAAACCTATATGATATTATTTCTTTAAACCAACCAAAAAGTGTCATTTTACACCTGGTGCAATACCAGAAGCGTGTTACATTAATCTGAAGCCACAAAATTAGAAATTTACATCACACCTATATGAGGTTTTATTAAGTTTGTTATTATTTCCTTTTAACAGTATATTAACAAATAATACACAACCCTACGTTTTCTCTTGTTGTAATATATATATCTACATACACAGTTTATTAAATTTAAAATTAATACAACGTTATGTACACTTATTATATTACATGTCGTATAATTCAACAAACTTTTTTTTGTGTAATTTAGTTAATAATAGGTCTGTATTATATAATTTAATGTGCATATGCTACCTATTCATCTAGAACTACTTGTTTTATGAAAAGAAAGTCGGTTTTATATATAAAAATTGCGAAGAATACAAACAAAATAAAGCATTCACTCAATTTCAATTTCACTCTTCAATATATTTACATTGATATTGATTTATACAAAATATCACATATTCTAATAAATAAAATATTATCTATATAGACTTATTAACTAGATAATTTTGTACATTTTTACATATGCTTTTTTACATATTTATAAGTAATTGTAAAATTAATATTTTGTATATTCTTGATATTTTCTTACTCGGTATTCCTGAGTTTCTTTAACCATTTTTTATAATGATTTTTTTAATTTATTTGACAGTAAATGACACTGTATAGAATGACATATCATATGTTAACTTTCGACATTTTCGTATATGATTTATTTGATACAGTAACATATGGGTTCATAACGATAATTAGACTCGAAATATTAAGTGTGTGGTACCAAATTTTTCGTAAAAAAATGCTTTTTGTAAATATGCTAATGAGCCACCTTCATTCCATTTGAAAAAAATGAGATATGATTAAAAATACGACTTGCTCATCTTTTAACCGGCCAGGACAGGACACGAAAAACATTAGATCATCAAATATATCTTTCCAAGGCTCCTTGATTAAAGATTAGTGTTTTTAACACAGCCATGGCACTCTAGATTGAAATTTAAAATATGATTTTTACGCGAAAATGTCAAAGTTGACATGTGATATGTCATTCCATTCAGTGTGTCATTCTCTATCGAATAAAGTAAAAAAAATAACGAGGAAACAATTGAATACGTCAATCAATCCGAATGTATGTCATATACTAACACTAACATAACAAATCTCGTTTTTTATCTGAAAAAATAAAAAAGTTATAGGGGGTGAGCTATTTTTGAGAAACACCCCGTATATGTGAAAATTGAAATACATTTTGTTTCATTTTAAACAGCATGGAAAAAATACTACATTTTTTTTTTGACACACTCTGTAAATATTATTCAATATAACGTTTTTTTAGTATAATTAGTTTTAAAAATGGCACTATTTTAAAATATAATGCATTTAAAAGAAATAAAAAAATAAAGGATTTAACTTTTAAAATTCTGGGACAACTTTAAATGCACAGAAAATAGAGAAAAATGAGCATATTTCAAAAACCACTACGTATACAAGGTGTTTCAAAACAAATGCGAAAAACTTCAGGGGGTGATTCCTTGTTCAAAATAAAGGGTAGTTTGCTTTATAAACGTTGGGTCAAAAGTCAACCATTAGGGAGATATCGCGGTACAAAGATGGCGGAAAAATAATGTTTTTATTTTTTATCTTGAAAACGAAAAGAGATAGACTAATGATAAAGCATTAGCCACAGTGAACACTTTCTGGTAATTTTTCATTTTTAAAATGAGCGGAAGGGGTTGTCAAACTGCCCCTCATCATTCTTGTTAACGAAATTTAGCAAATATGTTTATTTGTTTAGAACTTTTTATCTTCAGTGATAATTACTGATTAGTTCAGGTCGGGGGTCAGTGATGTCAGACAAAAACATTTTTAGATTAAGAATCTAGTGATAATAACGATAATAATAATCATCTAAATGTTTTTTGTCCTGACATGTAATGCTTTACATTTTATTTTTTAATTTCAAATCGGTGAGTTTTATCAAAAAAATACAAGAAATAAAAAAGTTTCTAAAGAAACTAAACTATCCAAATTATTTTTTTTGCATGTGTTTGATAAGATTTTTCTTTAAATTTCGTTAACAAGGATTAGGGGTAGTTTATTTCAACCCTTCCACTCATTTTAAAAAAGTGAAAAAATTACCAGAAAGTGTGTTTTCATAACAGTAATGCTTCCATAAAATTTCATTAGTCTATCTCTTTCCGTTTTCAAGATAAAAAATAAAAACATTATTTTTCCGCCATCTTTGTACCGCGATATCTCCCCAATGGTTGACTTTTGACCTAACGTTTATGAAGCAAACTACCCTTTATTTTGAACAAGGAATCACCCCCTGAAGTTTTTCGCATTTGTTTTGAAACACCCTGTAGAATTTAATGACAGATTTACTTAAATACAAACTTCCATTTAAATCACTATAACTCTAAACTAATAGTTATTTTTTATACAAGACGATAAAATGGTATTTTATCGTCGGCCGAAAAGATTACTTCGGGAGACGATAATGCAATTTTATCGTCGTGTATAAAACAATATTCTTTTCCATAGCGAGTTACGTTTTACAAAATATTCAGAAATTATTATTTCAAGGAATTTATTACGAGTAGGTAGAAAAAATATTATGCTGGGTTGGCGTTGCCGTTGGTTTCTATGTAATTTGACAAATAAAGCTGTCTCTTTAGTTGTCAGTTTTGAGTCGATAGGTATTTCTTAATTCTCTTTCGCGTCGATTGCTGATTGAATTGGAGACAGAAATGGCTCAAAAGGAAATAAGTAAATTACCAACAGATATTCAGGGTGAGGCGACAAACGCCATATCCAAACTACTTTCATTTAAATACCGAATAACTTATGAAAAGGAATACAAAAATTTTCAAAAATGGAAGCAATTAAAAAACGTGCGAGAAGAAATAAAGTTTTTAACGTATCCTCGCTGTTAAAGTATCATTTAATCTACCCTTGCCGTTAAAGTAATATTTTATCTACTATTTTTGATAGATATAAAGGCAATTTTAACAGTTGCTATGATAAAATACTTCATCAATATAACATATAATAACATGACTGAAATGTTTTATTTAAATAAAAATTTGCAGAAAAATATTTACGTGATAATTGTTTTATATGTAAATTCAAAATCTACCAAACTTCTAGAACGTACGGTATATTTCAACTAAAATCATTCCCTACCATCACACTCGGACCTCGTTTTGCTCTATACATAATCCAAAAGCAGTCGTTCCTCTCACATAAGCATTTATATACACCTTATCCTTTCTACTCACACCATGTTAGTACTTACCACTCCTTGGGGTACTCCGAAATCGTAGGTTGGAGCTTGCGAGAAAGGAGTGTACGGTCCTCTGTAGTACCTCAAGATAGCCAACTGCTGGACTCTTCTAATACCACATTCTCCTAGACCTCTGACTTGTATCCAATAAGCTCCTACATTTTGATCTGCGTTGATAACAAAGTCGTACCTTTCACCTGTAAGGAAAAATAAGGAAACAATTAAAAATATGGTGAGTTTTAGTTTGCAAAAAGGAAATACTAAAAGTTGATAGATATTTCCGTTAGTACTAAGAGTTATTTAAAAAATACCAGTAAAATTGTATCGCCGTATAGAGCGAAAAAAAAATACGGGCAAGCTGATTTTTTCAGAGTTTGTCAGCGACTGTCTTCTGAATGTAAAATTAACAAAATCGGAAATTTTCCCCTTGCGGTTTTTGAACAATAGGGGTGTTTTTTTTTAAACAGTACTACAACAAAATAATTAGACGCAAATGGTACATAAGAACATTCTCTATCAGTTCGCCTAATGAATTTTCTATAAGTTTATTATTTCCGGACTTAGCGGCCGTTTCATGAGCCCTTTGGGGTGGTTTTCAAAAAGTTTGTTTTACAGCAAATTGACCCGTATGAAAGTTGTTCATAATAAATGGTCAAGTTTTCCTCATGAATTTTTTTTGCAGCTTGATTATTTTTGGAGATGGCGTCCAGTTCATGAACAAATTAGGGTAGTTTTCAATGTTACTTTTTTTTCAGCAAATTCACCCTAGGAAACTCGTTCAAAATAAGAGTACATATACCTTTGCCTTATGAACTTTTTTTGTAACTTGACTATTTTTGGAGATCATGAACTTTTCAGGAAATTCACAAGTGCTATTGGAAAAATTGATGAATTCCATGTTTCGTTTTGGAGAAATAAATACATATTATAGGGAAGTTTGCAGTAATTTTAATATGAACACCTTTAAGTTGGTAAATTTGTAGAACTAAACAAACATTATAAAACTATCCCAATTTCTTCATGAACTGGACGCTATCTCCAAAAATAATGAAGCTACAAAAAAAATCATGAGGAAAAGTTGCTTGCCCATTTATTATGAACAACTTTCATACGTTTCAATTTGCTGTGAAACAAACTTTTTGAAAACCACCCCAAAGGACTCATGAAACGGCCGCTAAGTCCGGAAATAATAGACTTATAAAAAATCATTAGACGAACTTATAGAAAATGTTCTTATGTACAATTTGCGTCTAATTATTTTGTTGTAGTACAGTTTTAAAAAAAACACCCCTATTTATTGCTCAAAAACCGCAAGGGGAAAATTTCCGATTTTGTTAATTTTACACTCAGAAGACAGTCGCTGACAAACTCTGAAAAAATCAGCTTGCCCGTAATTTTTTTTTTCAAATGACAATTTTATTGGATAAACAGTAATTTTTAACAGTTAAAGGTTATTTTTTGTTTTGTGTTCCGTTTTTGCCTCGTGGGTGGAGTTGTGTGCAGATCATGTGCTAGAACAAGAATAACTCAAAAGGTTTGCGACAGTCAAGGCCTCATTAATATGAATCGATCGAGAAATTGCACTGTAATTATTAATGAGCCCATAATCAGAATTTAATTGATAAAAATGCTTAAAGTAGACATTACTTTAAAAGCGTTTGAAAATAATAATGTTAGAAGACATAAAAACTTTATTTACATAAAATCTTAGGTATTTCTAGCTGTAAAAAACGGTACATAACACTACATAAGTAAAATATATCCGAATAATAACAATATTGTTTTACACTTATCGTAGGAAACAAATAAAAATTCAAAACTATAAAAATATGTAGATTTAAAAAGAATAGAATGCACACAGAAAAATGCCGGAAATATATAAAAAGGCCTTGATTCTAGCCTTAAAAATACATTCACAGAAATAAATACAGAAATGTAGATTGATTTTAAGGTCTCCCATAAAATAAATGTAATATATTTTGACACCAAAGGACATCTATATATGCTAAATACCCAATACTTTTCTTTTAATATCTTTTATAACCTTGAGAGGCCTGATAACGTTGAAATTTATTAATATTTACACCCTCAACATATTATTTATTATGATCTTTTGATATTTTTTTCGAGATTGATGACGTCACACTAGTTAGATACTACGGATTATATTAAATATGTTGTAGAATACATGGAAAACATAATTATTCCTCCTATTTTTGGTTTGTATTTTAAAAATGATATAGTTTACATGAAATATACATAATATACAGTTAATAAATACAACATATATACCTAATTATAGTAATAAATACTTTGACAAATAAACTATGAACCATACAAATGCAGCAAATGTTTTACAAAATACTAATAATGAATAGGTACATAAGATAATGGGTAAAATGTAAAATACATTTAAAATTTTGGGGTTTGAAAATCGATCTAATTTAACAAAAATCATTCAATATCTACTAATAGTGATGTATTATTATTTGCATTCACAAAATTTATATGTATGTATATTTTGCAAATATCAAGGTTTGAAAAATTATATTTGCAAATAATACAATACCATAGAAAAAAAGGCGTCAGCAATGGCTATGAAATAAAGATCGCTGTCATTTTATATGTAAAATTATTCTAAAATTTTCTGATTAAGTTTTCATTTGGGTTTTCATTATTTTTATTAGGTTTAAAAAAAACGTTTCGGCTAACATTATAGCCTTTTTCAGTGTTGTGTCATATGAAAAAAATAGTGTCGAATATAATCCAAAAAATTACATACGTTTATACAATATATTGTATTTGTTAACTGTATATTACGTATGTCCATGTATTCTACAACATATTTATTAATCCGTCGTATCTAACTAGCGTGACGTCATAAATCTCGCTCCGAGGCTGTTCTATTAGAGACGGCATTGCGTTAGCATGGCCGCAAGTTTTTAACCTAATAAAATTAACACTAGAAAAGCCCGCGGGACCTGTCAAATTCAAAGTTATTCGTTTCACAGACTATATCTATTGCTTCTATTGACTTACCAGAGAATGAAATAATAGTGTTGACATTGACAGGGTGGACGGGTTCACCGTCCGCAGCGATCAAGGTCAAGGTGTGCCCTTGAACTGTCAGCTGTGCCGGGCATACGGAAGCCAGGGAATTGATCATACGGAACCTGTACCGCTTTCCGGGGGTCATGGTGTAGATTTCCAGAGGCGTATTCGTCATGAATCCAGTGTTGGGGTCCCTGAACTGGCCTTTGCCGTTGATGAGGAGATTTTCGGGGTCCTGACCTGGAAGAAGTAAATTATATTTATTAGGTTTAACATAACTGAATTTTTTACATCGTTTCAATGACACCCTGTCAATACGGACTGCCACACACCCGCTTTACCCGACCCCTGAGAGCGATCTGAACAGGACCACATAATAGACTCTTAATGACAAAATCATAATCCAGAAATGTACTAACCGGTGTTGACGGCCAGCCTTCCTGGATATCTTTCAGCGGCAGCTTCGTGCATCCAATCCGAAAGCATTATAACATGCGTAGTCAAGTCGAAATCGTACAAATGACTGTTGGGGTCTTTGTTGGGTGGTTGCCTAATAACTATGCTGCCGTACAGACCGTCCATTTTCTGTAGACCGGTATGGGCGTGCCAGAAGTGCGTTCCAGCGTTGCCAGCAATCCATTGATACCTGGAAAGATAAAACAACGAATAATAGTAAGTTGATCCTTGTTCTATATGATCAGCAATAGTGCTAAAAAAAAATTGAATATGAATTGATGTTTCTAGAGTTAATTTTAAATTTTAAGGTTCTAAAATCTTCCCCTAGGAAATGCAAGACCTTGTCGTTGGTGGGGAAGCTCCTGGTCAGGTGCTGGGGGGAATCCCCTCTAGCACTTGGCTTGGTCTAAGAAGCATCTCACTCATCGTCTTGTCCCTGACTGTAGTGTCGTGGCCAGGGAATTGCACCAAGACATATAACGATACCGGGCGGGGCTACGGACAGCCTTAACCTTGGGGCACCCCATTGTATTTTACCCCTTACTTCTACATGCGGGGCTCTGTAGAAGTGGACCGACTGTCTCTAGCGACTCATAGGAACACTATGAGATCTGATAATAATAGTAATAAAAACATCACCGGGTGAAGCTGTGGGGAAACCCCCTAGCGACACTGGGAACAGTAACAATGAAAGTTCCAAGGGGCCAAACCCAAAGAGAACTACAGGAGAGGTGGCTGACACTTGCGTGAGACCATCCTTCGCAAGTGGCATACAAGCTACCACCTCCTTCAAGGCTCGGGAGCCTACCTCCTACCTCTAAACCCAACAGGCGACACAAGCTACCGTTTCGTCTATCCGGCCTGGGTCGTAGCTCCTCGACTGTGAGGGACACGGGTCTCCGTAGGAAGTTCTGGGACTGTATGATGAGTTATAACTCAAGAAAGGGGGACACAATAGATCTCTAAGGTCGCAGAGATTAACCCCCCTCCCACTTATTCTAATTCTAATTCTAAAGGTTCTAAAATACGACCAGAAGGAACTATGAAGTCTAGGACACATCTGTGTGTATGGTTCATATTAAATAGTTTTTAGTCACGTGATTAAGCTTGACCGGCACAGCGTTGCCCTCTTTTACATATTTTCTTCTAATCAAATAGTTCAGTCATTGGGGATTTTTGCTTGGAAAAAAGTCCGGAAGTTTTGCAACTTTGCAGGTTTATAGGTTTTGGGGTCCCTAACTAAAATCCATAAAATGCACATCTCCAGACTTGCCGCCGGCGCCGCCATCTTGCCAAGATGGCGCCCAAAATCGGTATTTTGTAAATATCTCGAAAACTATGCATTTTACGCAAAAATTTGAAGAGAGCAAAATTGAAGAGAATAAAATTTCCTATAAAAAAAGTTCTATGAAAATTTTCACTAAAGTCAACCGTTTAGGCAGAAAATATCTGGAAATTTATTGTATATATTACGTATAGTCGATTTTCCGAAATCAAATGTCGATTACGGTTACAATCCAATGTCGATTATTGTCGGGTTCACTAAAACTAGTTTTAGTTTAGTTTCTTAATTTTTGTCATGAAACAGTGGCGTATCATTAATTCGCTCATTAATTTATGAATAATTAATTTTAATTATTGAAAATGTGTACTTGCTTCCACACCACCCAAGAGGTAAAGTATATGGCGCGTTTATTCTAACGTGGTCTCCCCGGAGGTCTATTTCACTAGGTAAATTAAAAACTTTAACTTATCTGCACAAGCCCGACGGACCTGGCTCATTGATGTAAAGTCGATCGTGTCTGCTGTGCTGGGCTCATCAGGGTGGTCTCTCAATTCGTCCAACTCTTCATCTTCGGCCGCCAGAGGGATATCTACAGACCAGTCCAACTCCTCTTCATCGGATTCGTCGAGTGACACTTCAGTGATTTTGCCACAGGATTTCCCATTGCAGTATGCACAAATCATTGAACATTTTAATCCAGCTTTTCTGCATCTGCAGGCTTTACCACCAGTTGTTGGTTTTGCATTTACAAGATAAAAATGCCAATAGGGATTTTGGAGCTGGATCTGTCAACGTTGTGACTGTAGTAATGACTGTTTTTGTTTTCTTCCAACCCCATTCTTCGGCATCTTTGGTACAACCAGACCAATGCTGAACCTGGTGGTAAGTTCGCAATGAATGCTGTCCAGCAAGACAATTAATTATTTATAAATTAATTATTATTATATTAAATAAATTAATTATACGCCACTGTTTTATGACAAAATTGAAGAAACTAAAAGTTTTAGTGAGCCCTAATCGACATTTGATTTCGGAAAATTGACTATACATATGTATATCATACTTTACTATTTTGTGCCTAAACGGTTGAGTTTCCCGAAAATTTTCATAGAACCTTTTTTATAAGAAATTTTATTCTCCTTAATTTTTCTCTCTTCAAATTTTTACGAAAAACGCATAGTTTTCGAGATATTTACAAAATATAGATTTCGGGCATATTTGCATATTTTTGAAAAACACCCCGTAACTCCGAAACGGTAACAGTTATCGATATGCGGTTTTCACCATCATGTTTTTGACAAAAATTGAGCTCCAGACACCGATATTAGTTTTTGTCTATCTCCTATAGAAAAGGGTGTTTCCATTTAAAAGCGTCGAATTTGACCCACCCTGTACATGTAATATTAAAATTTGCCAAAACATTTTATTATTATTATCTAATGTTTCGAATCGCTGCATACGTATAAATGACAGAAGACAAATTGTGCCTAATGCATATACTTTTATTGCTGTGCGTCCAAAAGAACCAGCGAATTTTACGCTTCACGATACCATATAATTATAGTACCCATTCTTTTCTGGATGTTTTGTAAATTATGGTTTTCACCTTACACTGCTCAGTATTTTCACGAAAAAAAAGAAGAAAATGTAACGCACACTTATATTTTTAATGTGAGACGTGAAAATAACATTGCAAAAACGTCGCTTTTGGCGAAAAATAAGCTTTAATATTATTCATACCCGGATTTTCGAAAACAGTTGTCAGTCAAAATCAAAACGGATAATTATATGAGCGGTGTCAGGTGTTGTAAGCTGATAGATTTGGATTTTTTTGTTGCATCTTAATTATTGTAATCTTGAAATGAGTTGTGACAGCTTGAAAAAGTCATGAGTAACATACAAAGTAGGTATTTCTTTTAATCTCTTATTTAAGAAACTAACTAAATTTTTTTAAGTAGCTCAAAAAAAAGTGTATATAAAACACAAAAATCTCTGTTAAACATCTCAAAATAAAACTTCTCTAAGTTTACTTATTTCTCTGAGTTACGAATATTTACCTCTGAGCTATAAGGAGTGAATGTTGTGAGAGAGTGAATAATGACAAGCAATACGAGAATTTCCTATAAAGATGAAAAGTAATTAAACCTAGCTTTCAACACGTCTTGAATCAATTATATACTTTACCTAATATAGGTACGAAGATTCTCCTAACTAGGTTACTTAGACGCGTTTTTCTGATATTGCAATTAATCTGAAAGGTTCAAAATGTCGCACTTGCACTCGCACTTTCTCTAATTTCGTTCAAAACGCGTAACTAGCCCCATAAAACGCGTAATAAGTAGTTTATTTAGTTATGTCCCTCTTTTTGCTGTAATATAAAAGTATTACGAGAAGTGATAGATAATTATTTTCATATGTAACAGACTCATCATCATCATTTTTAGCTTATTCAACCACTTTCAGTGTAGTCTCCCTCACATATTTAGATAATCCTTTGTAGTTGGACCCATTGGTTGTCTGTCTATTGTTGGCTATGCGAGCTCAAGTTATCTGTTTCCCTCTACAATTTCCAATGTACGGTTTTTGTCGGGGAAGGGATCATAGTTTCATACTTGCCGATTTTCGAAAGAAATCAGTAGGTACATGCTTGGTACATGTATATTATTTCGTATATTTTTCATTTTATTGATTTTATGGAAAACACTATTGATTAAAATGTTGTATCCTATGTTATAGGGGTTGATTCTCTCTACAATTTCCTGTCTCACAATGTACAGTTTGTGTCGGGGAAGGGATCATAATCGCATCATTCGTTCATAGTTTCATAGTTGTCGATTTTCGAAAGAAATCAGTACATGTATATTATTTCGTATATTTTTCATTTTATTGATTTTATGAAAAGCACTGTTCATTAAAATGTTGTATCCTATGTTATAGGGCTTGTTTCTCTCTACAATTTCCTGTTTCACAATGTACCGTTTGTGTCCGGGAAGGGTTCATAGTTTCATAGTTGTCGATTTTCGAAAGAAATCAGTACATGTATATTATTTCGTATATTTCTCATTTTATTGATTTTATGGAAAGCACTGTTCATTAAAATGTTATATCCTATGTTATAGGGCTTGTTTCTCTCTACAATTTCCTGTCTCACAATGTACAGTTTGTGTCGGGGAAGGGATCATAGTCTCATAGTTGTCGATTTTCGAACGAAATCAGTACATTTATATTATTTTGTATATTTTTCATTTTATTGATTTTATGGAAAGCACTGTTCATTAAAATGTTGTATACTATGTTATAGGGTTGTTTCTCTCTACAATTTTCTGTCTCACAATGTACAGTTTGTGTCGGGGAAGGGATCATATAGTTGTCGATTTTCGAAAGAAATCAGTACATTTATATTATTTTGTATATTTTTCATTTTATTGATTTTATGGAAAGCACTGTTCATTAAAATGTTGTATCCTATGTATATATGGGCTTGTTTCTCTCTACAATTTCCTGTCTCACAATGTACCGGTTGTGTCGGGGAAGGGATCATATAGTTGTCGATTTTCGAAAGAAATCAGTACATTTATATTATTTTTTATATTTTTCATTTTATTGATTTTATGGAAAGCACTGTTCATTAAAATGTTGTATCCTATGTATATATGGGCTTGTTCCTCTCTACAATTTCCTGTCTCACCGAGTATGCATGTATACATGTGAGTAATGTCTGTATAAGTAGTGGCTGTTGGATAAAAGAATGAAATCGAAATTATATTACCATGACTTTCAGCCATATTTTCATTTTTTTTTAATTTTCTCAAAAACTGGAAATTTGGAAAAGTATAAACGGGACTAACCATTTTAGAACAAGCAAAACATTTTATGAAGAATGCATTTTTATAAAAATATCAATA